ATCAGAGTTTTAGGTTTTACCAGTTTCCAAAGTGTAAATACTCCCCTGCAGCCAGTTTCAAAGAACCATGGCAGGGCTGGAGAGATGGCTCAGTGGTTAAGAGAACGAGCTGCCCCTGCAGAGGGCCTGGGTTCAATTCCAAGCACTCACATGGTGGCTCACAACCATCTATAACTGCAGTCTCAGGATAGATACCCTCGTCTGATATCCTCGGGCGCTGCACCCATGTGGTGCACACACCATACATGTAACTAATACATTTACATACACGCAAAAAAATTTAAAAATCTGAAAAAAAAAAAAACCCAAAGTATTGAGGTGGAGCATGGAGAGTGAGGAAGAGCAGCTAAGTAGGAAGATTTGGCTTCCACCTACCATATGGATTCCCAGCAGGGTTCTGCCTAGAAGGTTCCCAGTTAGCTGTGGCTAACTCTTAACAGTCTAAGCCATTCTCCATATCTCCTGGTAGCTGCTTGGCAAGTGGAACGGTTGGGTGTGCCTGTGTCCTTTCCAAAAGTAAACCGAGCCACTCAGGCCCTGATTAAATCCAGCCTCTCTTTTCATTGTAAGTGGTTTGTGATTCATTCCCCACCACTGCCTAAAATAGGGTAGTAGAGGCACATGCTTGCACTCTCGAAAACACACACACACACACTCACATACACACACATACACATTCGCACAAGTCTGTGATCCTAGACACCGTAGAAGTGAAAGCTGGAAGGTCATGCCTTCATGTGGTCTAAAGGAAAGGAAACTTAAATCTTTCCTTCCATTTAGTTTCAAGCAGGTGAGCCCCACACGAAGCTCAGCATTGTCTATGGATGCTACCTAAGACAAAACTGTCAACTTATTTAAAACATGATGAGGCTGGGGGCGGGGGTCCAGGTTTTGTGGTTTCAAAACTGAACTGTGAGGTCTCCTGCACGAACCTCATGCCCCAGTGTCAGAAAAGATAAACAGATATACTCTCTCAAAAACCATGAGCCGGACAGCCCTGTGTGTCCCAAGATGATTCTTGCTCATACAGTGTGGCCCAGAGGAAACAAAAGGTTGCGTATCCCTGGAAAACAATGCGTTTTCACCTCTGACTTACAATAATCCCACTGGGGGTGTTTCTGTTAGTCTGCCGTGACAGAGCAGACGGGGAGGTCGTGGCCACAAAGCCCTAGCAGCAGGGCTGGGACGCAAGCGAGGCAATCTTTCCATCACTGTGCACCTCAACAAGCTCTGAGCAGAGCAGGGCCCCTAACGAACCCCGTTATCAACAGGGCCAGATAGGAAAGAGGAGCCAGAATGGGGCTCCTGATCCATGTTCTTTTTCAAAGATTTGTTTTTATTCTTTTTTAATTATGAGTACAGGTGTGTCTCTGTGTGGGTATGTCACAGCTGAGTACAGTTGCCCGAGAAGGCCAGAGGCATGAGATCTCCTGAGCTGGAGTTATAGGTGGTCGTGAGTCACCTGGAGTGGATGCTAGCAACCCAGTTCAGGTCTCCTGCAAGAGCACTTTGTAATCTTTTGTTTGTTTGTTGAGACAGGGTTTCTCAGTGTAACCCTGGCTGCCCTGGAACTCACAGTTCCTGCCTTCACCTCCTGACTGCTGGGACTACAGGCATGTGCCACCACGCCTAGGTGCAGTTTGCAACCTTGACCTTTGAAGCATCTCTTCAGCTGTCTCCCCGTTTTTGAGACTAGGTCTCCTGTAGCCCAGGCTGGCCTCATACTCCTTGTATAGCTGAGGATGACCTTGAACTTCTAATCCTCCTGCCTCCAGCTTCCAATTGCTGGGATTACAGGTTTGTGCTACCGCCTTGAGTTTATGCAATGGTGGAAATGAACTAACAGCCCCAGGCATGCTAGGCAGTCGCTCTACCAACTGAGCTAAATGCCAACCCCATACAAAAAAATTCCAATGTCAACCCGGCCCAAGTTGAAGTCACTGGCTTGATGCCAGCAGCCACAGTATGGCAGCTACGTTTATTTCATTGGAATGTTTCCTCCTGGGCAGAGGATGTGGTTGGAGAATTTTCAGGGACATTGAGGAGTTACGGTCTTCCGGGGACTCCTGCCATGTCTAGGAGTATTTTCAGCAGTAACTGTTTACAGAGCAAGAGTGGTGGTGAGCATATGCACACACACACACACACACACACACACACACACTATTGCGTGCGCGTGCACACACGCTGGAGCACAATTAAATGATGAATTCGTGGAGATGTTTTGCAAACAGCTCTGCAGGGGCACATTAGCACCCGAGGCCTCTGTCTCATGCGCTTGCTTCATTAACTTCATCTAGTACCTGGTAAGCACCTGACATGCGCTCAGCAGAGGAGAAGCATCCTGAACAGGGATTGTGGGCAGAAGGCAGGAAGGCCATGCAGAGCCTTCACCTGGCTTCCTCCTAGGCTGGATGGCTTAGCTCAGTTGCCCTAAGTCACCCACCTGGGGATGTCTTTGCCCAAGAGAAGAATGTAGTTTGTTCTAGTCTGAATTTCTAAGGATCTTCCAACCAGGAGCTGGCTTTCTAATGCAGAAAACACTGCAAGGAATAATATCCCAAATCCTCCTGACTAAAGGAGGCGTTTGGTATCTTTGGGAACTTGCTGCCACACAGAAGACAACCATAGGCCCACCATCTCCATTTCCAGGATAGAGGAGCAGATTCTCCCAAAGAAGCTGACTAATGACCTCAGGAGATATGGCCTCTCTCAAAATCTCAGGGCTGAGGCCAAAGAGATGGCTCAGAGGTTAAGCTGCTCTTCCAGAGGTCCTGAGTTGAATTCCCAGCAACCACACGGTGGCTCACTATAATGAGCCACCTATAATGAGATCTGGTGCCCTTTTCTGGTGTGCAGGCAGAACGTTGTATGCTAATAAATAAACAAATCTTAAAAAAAAAAAAAAAAAACACCTCAGTACCATCTAGCTTCATATCACTGGAATCTTTGTCTCTCAAGAACACATGAGAGGCTAAAGAAATGGCTCAGTGATTAAGAGCATTTGCTGCTCTTGCAGAGAACCTGAGTTTGGTTCCCAGCACCTACAACAGGCTACTCACAACCACCTGTGACTCAAGCTCTGTAAAATCTAATGCCCTCTTCTGACACACACATGCAATACCCACACCCATACCAACACATACACACACACATTCTGGAAACACAGACTGTAGATGTAGCTTATCAGCAGAGTGCTTGCCAACATGTGTGAGGTCCCAGGTGTGATTCCTAGGAAAACAAATATGCTGAAACCAATGTCAATGTGTATGAATTTTACAGAGATGTAAATGGGCTAATCCCTGAGGTCTGACAAGACTGATCTTAGAAATATGTAGTAGAGGTCACATAGATTTGGTCAAAGATTTAAACATAATGATGGCCATCAGAAGCATTGTTCTGAACACAGAAAAATATCTGGCAAATTACTAAATAAAAATAAAACATTTGAAATCATGTTTCTGAAGAATTTTTACTGCTGTGAGAAACTGCCGTGGCGGGTGGAAAGGCATATGAAACCATTTGTATCTGATCTCAGAGAAAGGCCAGATAAATACACAGAGAGTGACTGGAGAGGTGGCTCTGTGGTTAAGAGCGCACACTGCTCCCCAAAATCCATGTTGGTGGCTCACAATTGCCTGTCGCTCCAGCTCATGGGGACCCGGATGTCCAGAGGGTTCTGTAGACACCTGCCCTCATGTGCAGGATCCCATAAACAGATGCACACAATTTCATACAAATAAAAATACCCCCCCCTTTAAGTCCGCATGACAAATGTCCCTGGTGGGAAAACAACCCCAAAAGGAAATGCCCAAATGTTACTCGGAACACTACCTGAGGCCACTCTCGGCAGCCTGCTAGGACCTCATAATGGATGTTTTAGGGTGTTCTTGTGAAACATCTTTCTAGGGGCTTGTGGGGTAATTCAGTGGTGAAAGCACTTGCAGCCAAGCCCGATGGCCTGAGGTCAAGTCTTGGGACCCACATAGTGGAAGAGAACTAACTCCCAAAAGTTGTCTTATGACTGTAATCTGGAGCTGTAAACCAATGAAGCCTTTGTTCCCTGAGCTGCTTTTTGTCAGGACATCTTATCACGGGGACAGAAATGAAGTTAGGACAACCTGGGATGCCAAGCACACATTGAGTGTCCGGTTTTATGTGCAGGTGCTGAGGATTGAACTCAGGCCCTTATGTTTGCAAGGCAAGCACATTACCGCTCCTCTGAGCCCCTCCCCGCTCCGGATAAAGCCCAAGGTCTTTAGCATCCATGCTCTATCATGTTAACTTCTTTATGTGTCATGAGCTCTCATGCCTCGGAGCCATTCTTCATGCTGTTCCCTTAGCTGGAAGGCCCCCCTCCTCATCCCAAACACACACAGCCCCGGTAAGCTTTCCAGGCCATGCTTAACATTCAAGGACAACCTGTAACCCTTTTTGAGACTCTTCCCATCCTACCTGCCCCCCAACACACACCCAATGAGTCCCTTCAGGGTTTATTCTGCAAACTATACCTACAGTGAGAATGATTAGGATGAGCTTGGAAGGGTGACATGTAGTGACATGCTCTCTCTCTCTCTCTCTCTCTCTCTCTCTCTCTCTCTCTGCTGTCTCTCCATCCCTGAAGATGATCCTGGTTCAGATCCTGACTCTGCCTCTTCCTGGAATGGTGATCTGTAGTAAGGCTTACTGTCTACAAGCCTCATTACAAATGGCCTTAACTACATTCTTCAAACTATGGAGTCAGGCCTCTAGAGCATTGCTGAATGCTTACCATGTGGAGGGTCAGGTCCTTTAGCTGGTATGGGGTCTTCCCAGGTTCCCTGATGTCATCTGGCCATCCCACAACAACTATCATTTGTTTTCTCAAAGATGGGGTTCGTGCAGGTTCCCAGCACCTTCCAGTAACTAGCAGATGGAGTTCAGAACCACTGGTGGTCGCAGGACCAGCACTGATGGGACACATGCCAGGCTTGGCTCACCATCCTGACTTTGTATTTCAGAGCCATTTGGGAGAAGCCAGGGAACTACTAAAGCAAGGAAACCATCCCAGGAGACAGAGACCAGATTCCTGCTCTTCAAAGACAAAGGCGATCGCCAGGGCTGTCAGCTCCGACTCCAGAGCCCAGAAACGCTGCAGGAGTGTGGCTTCAACTCCTCCCAGCCACTGGTCATGGTCATCCACGGGTGGTCGGTAGGAAGCGCTCACATGTTGTGTTCTTTGTGTATCCCCGCCCGAGGTTTTTCTTCCTAGTGCATTGGATTTTAATAATGCTGATGATAAACTCACACATGCCTCTGGTAAAGCACCTCCCAGTTTTCTCAGTTCCAGGAGTGAGCAGAGTCCTGGAAGTGTGTGTGTGTGTGTGTGTGTGTGTGTGTGTGTGTGTGTGTGTCCTCTCTGTGTATATGCATGAGAGTGCAGGTGCCCACCAAGGCCAGAAGAGGGTGCTGGATTCCCTGGAGCTGGAGTTACAGGTAATTGTGTGGTGCCAGGCATGGGTGCTGGGAGCAGAACTCAGGTCCTCTGCAAAAGGAGTACATACTCTTAACCTTGACCTATCTCTCCAGCGCCACATCAAAAAACTTTATGTGGGTCCTAAAGATCAAAGATGGGGCCTGGGTTTGTATGGCAGATGTCTTACCAACGGAGCCATTCTCCAACATCTAACGAGTTGGAATTTATTTTCTGTCATCTACTTGAAAATCATTTTCTGAAGAGCTGGCCTCAAATCCATCATGTAGCCAAGGATGACCTTGAACTCTTGTTTCTCCTGGCTCCACCTCCAAGGGCTGGGATAACAGGTGTGTGTCTCTGTGTCTAGTTTATGCAGCGCTAGGGGTAGAACCTGGAGCTCCATGGATGTTAGGCCATCGCTCCCCTGACCAAGCTATATCCCCAGACATAAAAACAAAAGATTCTTGAAAACCCCACCTTGCCCGTCTAGAGAATTAACCAGCTCATGCACTCTGTCGCCTTCATTTGTCGCCTCCTTTCTCGTTCTCTTCTCGGGGTTAGCTCTCCTTTTCCTGTAGGCCTAGTCTCCATCATAGCATTCTGCAGGCCAACCCTGCCACAGCTCAGCCTTTTCCAAGGCGTGGTGCATGGTTCCCTGAGTTCCCAGGCCCCAGCAACCCATGGAACCTCCTTCTGCTGGGCTTTCTCACTTGGTTTCTCTGACCCACTAGGCTGTGAGCTCCTCCCTGGAAGGGGTCTGCCCTATTCTTGTGTGACATTGCAAGCCAATACCCACCACAAGTTAGGTGCTCCAAAATGTTTGTTAACTGAATTAAAAATCGAATGAGTGAGTTTGGTTTTGAAATGCAACACAAAGCTGCAGGTTTCTATAGAAAAATGTGCTCTTTGGCCTCAAAATCTTGTTATGTCAGAGTATGCAACTTCTGCAGCCTCTACCACCACCACCACCACCCAACATTTACACTAGAAATACTAATGCAGACAGCAACAAGAGCCACAGAAGAGGAGGCACCTGGGTTAACTAGTATACAGGCAAGGTAGCTCAGCTGGGGTACCTGGCTCTCGGTAAGTCTCTCCTCAATAAGCACAGCTTGGCTCCCTGGAAGGAAGAGAGGGTGGCTAACGGGGTGGGATGGAACTGAGGGATGGGGAGGGAGCGTTACTATTTTCCTTTCTGCAGCTTGACCTTAAACTCTCCCAAAATCTCTGGACCATACCACGCTGCTCCCTTTCTGCCTCTGCAAGACTGCCTAGAGTGCCCCAGACCCAGATATGACCACCTTCCTGCCTGTCCTTTCTCTCCTTCCTCACCTCTGCTTCTCCTCCACGGCACGGCATGATCACTCAGCCCCGCACGTGTTCTTCTCTCGAGCAGGGGCCACACAGAGCAGGTCTCCAGGTCTCAGGCTCTTCCAACCGAAGGTAGAAGAGGTCAAGACAGATGCTGTGGGACCCCAGGCCTGGAGGAGCTGACCTTCTGAAGTCAACTCTTGGACCTAATTTTCACACATTTTTCCATTGTTTTAGGGCTCAGAAAGTGCTACCCTGGGGAAAAATTCAGACAGTGAATCTCAGGTGGGGAGAATGTGGCAAAGTCCGGGCACGCTGTGTTTTCAGAATCTGGGGCTGGACATGGGGTTGACATCACATGGGGGGAGCTAGAGATGGGCCGAGCAATGGATAGGACAGCTGGGCAGGAACTCTTCAAGCCCAAATGGCCTCAGCACCAGGCCATTGCCTCTCTTTGGGAAGAAAGGTCTAGCACTGTCCTTAAGACTGAGAAAGAAGAGGACTGTGTGCTTAGGGACCCCAGGAACTGGCACAGGGTCACCTCCCCTCCCAGTGAGGCTGACAACCTATGGCCCACCCTCAGGTGGATGGCTTGCTAGAAAGTTGGATCTGGAAGATGATGGGCGCGCTGAAGTCCCAACAGTCCCAACCCGTGAACGTGGGTTTAGTGTACTGGATCTCCCTGGCATACCAACACTATGCCGTCGCCGTTCGCAACACCCGAATTGTGGGCCAGGAGGTGGCTGCTCTGCTCCTGTGGCTGGAGGTAAGCCCACCTACCCATCCCTCTGGTGGTAAGGGAGGGGTAAGCTGGTCTCCAGGAGATCTCCCCGAAACCCCAGGAGGCCTCGGTGCTCAGCTGGCAAGCCTGGGGCCTGATAGGAGGCCTCCCCTTAAGCCATGATCTCCTTACTCCCCAGCCCCGCTTCTGTTTGCACACCCCTGCATTAATCCCGAGCACAGTGTCCCGTCACTTCCCACGGTGCCCCATGAATTGGCAGCTTGCTGACTAGTGGACCGTCAACCTGACACGAGCTGGGGTCATCCTGAAAGAGGAAACTCAACTGAGAAAATGCCTCTGTCAGATTAGCCAGTAGATAAGCTTGAGGGGCATTTATTATTATCATTGTTTATTATTGTTGTTGTTGTTGTTAATTATTGAAGTGGGAAGGCATAGCCCATTGTGGATAGTGTCATCCCTGAGCAGGTTGTACTGAGTTACCCAAGAAAGCAGGCTATACGGGGGGCATGGGGAGCAAGGCAGAAAGTAGGGTTCTTCCTACTTTCTTAGCTCTTTCCTTCATGAGGGACTGTAAGCTGTAGACTAAAATAATCCCTTCCCTCCTAAAGTTGCTTTGGGTCAGTGTTTTATCACAGCAACAGAGAGCAGCCTGGGACATACAGATACCCGTTATGAGAGACCAGTGAGCTGGTGCAGCAGGTTAAGAGCCTTGTTGCAAAACCCGAGGACCAGTGTTCAATCCCCAAAGACTCCCATGGCAGAAAGAAAGAACTGAACTGACTCCCTCAAGTTTTCCTCTGGCCTCACATGCATGTGCTGTAATATTTTTAAAACATTGGGAAAAGAAAATTGAGATTTTTTTTTCCCCCTCACGATATTTAAACTTTAAACGCGCAGTTATCTGCTATGGACTTTTTAAATGACAATGTCCTGTCACGGTGTCATACAAAATAAATTCATCCATTCCAGTTAGGGTGCCCCGCTGTGGCCTTCGACAACTGCACTTCACCCAGTGTGGCTCAGAGAAGACAAAGTTTAGAAACATCTGCCCAAAGGAATCCAAACACACTTGGAAGCCATCAATGCAAGTGTGGCCTCCCACCTGTAATTACAGCCCCAAAAGGCAAAGACTAAGGCATCCCCAGTTTCTGCAAGATGCCAATGGCCAGGTGAAGCCAGGCAGGAGGCAGCAGTCACCAGGACATCCCAGAGGAAGGCCACCCTTACCCCCAAGCCCGTCACCTAAGCCGACAGTCAGTGAGATGGCAGGCCAGTCTCCCAATATAAACATCTGATTTGTGGGCTATGCCAAGCATGGATGGGTGCCCCGTGGAAGCCCACCACCACCCCTTCCTCCGACCCTCTTGCCCTGTCTTCCAGGAATCTGTGAGGTTTTCTCGAAGCAAAGTTCACCTAATCGGGTACAGCCTGGGAGCGCACGTCTCAGGATTCGCAGGCAGCGCCATGGGTGGAAAGCACAAGATCGGAAGAATCACAGGTAGCCCTGTGCGGATAACCCCACGGCAAGCTCCGGGCTTCAGAGTGCAGGGAGCAGAGAGCACACACACGCTCAGGCACACCCACACCCACACACACGCTCACGCACACACACACAGACACGGGGGTGCCCACACACTTGTACACATGCACACCAAACACTCACGTTGGGAAAAGAAAAAACAAAGAATTTCACAAAGAGAGACATTGTCGGGCCTGAGGCCTCAGTCTCCCTATTCCAGCTGGCATTGCCACATCCCAGCATTATAGCCAGGCCACGCACACAGGAGAGCTTCTTACCCTGTAGTCATCTTTTTGTCAGAAGAAAGAAAGAAAGAAAGAAAGAAAGAAAGAAAGAAAGAAAGAAAGAAAGAAAGAAAGAAAGAAAGAGAAAGCAAGCTATAGATCGCACCAAGGCTATGGGGGTGGGAGGGGGTGGAGAGCAGGTGACCTCACCACTCACTGTCAGTTGCTCTCTTGGCTGCAGCAAGGATGGCAGCCAGGCCCGCCACCAAATGGTCTCTTCAGACAACTCAGAGGCGCATACATACTCTCCCCAAGCAGCCAGCCAGGAGCCGTGCTTGCTGCTGAAAGCACATCTGTGCCTTGGAGCCTGGGCTTCCGAAGGCCCTTACAAGGCCCTTTTGACCCCTTCCTAAGGTTGTTCTGGACGTTTGGTAAGACGACATGAGCATAGGAAGCCAGCTTGCTCGAGACTGCTGACAACACACAGGCAAACAAGAAGTCAGAACTGGATATAATGAGCACCGTGGGCTGCTGCTTTTTTATGCAAACAGATGCCGTAGAAAGTACCAGGGGAGGCACTTAAAATTGATTTGCTTAAATAAATCAAGCGTTCACTCCTAACCTGGCTCTTACCTCCTGATCCTCTCTGTAAACCTTTCCCCTTAGAATAGCGTCTGGCCTGAGTAATTTTCAGTGCCATGAATTTCTACAGCTTTAGAGCCAAAAGGTTACAGTCAGAGCTTCTAGAAAGGCACCAAGCCCTTGTCTTTCTCTTCCTGCCTGCTCGGAAATGTGAAATGGCCACAGAGCTTGCAGCAAAGTCTTCTGATGCCCTCCCCATGCTCATCTATCCTGGCTTTCATCTTTCCTACCAGGGCTGGACCCTGCAGGCCCTCTGTTTGAGGGAGCTTCCCCCAACGACCGTCTTTCTCCAGACGATGCTGATTTTGTGGACGCCATTCATACCTTCACCCGGGAGCACATGGGCCTGAGTGTGGGCATCAAACAGCCCGTTGCCCACTATGACTTCTACCCCAATGGGGGCTCCTTCCAGCCCGGCTGCCACTTCCTGGAGCTCTACAAACACATTGCTGAGCATGGCTTGAATGGTAAGAAAGTCATAGCCTTAGCCTGGTTCTTACTCTCTCCTGAAGCCATCGGTACCATCAGCAAAGCCAGAGACCCTGATTGATGTAGGACCTCAGAGGTCTCTTGGGGGGCTGGTGGTTCTCAGGCAGCTGCTCCCCATGACAGTGCAGAGGGTTGGGGGCTGGAGAAATGGCTCAGTGGTTAAGGTCACAGACTGCTTTTCCAGAGAACAAAGGTTCAAATCCCAGCACCCACATGGCAGCTCACAACTGTCTGTAACTCCAAGACCTGACATAGACATACATGATGTTGAAACACCAATGCACATAGACTTAAAAAAGGTAATAAATAAAATAAATAAATAAATAAATAAATAAATAAATAAATAAATAAAGCATAGACTTGGACAGTGCACAGTGTCTTGGAGGCCAAGTGAAGGAACACCATCAGGAGCCATCACTTCCCATCCCTACCCAGAGTGAAACAGGAAGCTACTCCAGGGGCACTAGCCCTTGTGAGAGCTGAGTCCTCATGTTGTCCTTTCCTTTAGGAGGGTATATGTAATATACCTTGGCCTCGTGTGTGTGTGTGTGTGTGTGTGTGTGTGTGTGTGTGTGTGTGTGT